AGCGCACATATGACTAAAAAGATATTGTTGCCTAATTTTTCCATAATCCAATGAATTTCTAGTAGAAATTTCAAGTAGTATGGCTCTGTTTTGCAATAGTGTCGTGAATGCGTTTTGTTTCCTGACCGCTGAGAAAATTGAACATAATCTGTTTTTTCTAGTGCATGTGGACATCACCGCCATAGTGTAGTTCCTTGATGCATTAAGTATCAATGTAAAAATATCAATTTGATTAGATGTATTTGTGATAAAAATGTTCATTCTGACCCACACACAACTGTGCACAACGAGATTGACGCTAATATCAGCCCACACATATCTATCCACTCTTTTGACACGTTGGATACCAGTCGTTTTGAAGACTGTGAAGCAACATCAAACATCAAAGAGATGAAAATATTGTCGAGGATCGCGCGAGTCATACAGACGAGCGTTACCTGTTAGATAAGTTTGTCTTTAAAAAGTTTATTGGAGTATTTTACAAAAAACAGATCAGAAAAATCTGGAACATATAGTTCGATCGTCGTCATCTCCCCTCCCTTTCGAATCGCGGAAATCGCACTTCTTTACCTTGTTTTTATCAATAGTTATTCAGTAAAGCTTGTCAGCACAGCTCCTTTGCAGCTGAGATGCGGAACTCACGTATATCCTTCCAAGTTGTTATCCTAGTGCATTCCTTGTAAACAAAAAAGGACGTTTTTTTTAAATTTATGAATGCATCAGAATATTTTATAGAAACTAAGTCCGTTTGTGGGCGGTTGCTGAGGTCTGTAATGAAGAGGTGTCTATAATTGGGGTATATCTTTAATGTTTTCTTCACTGTTGCTATGTGTATGCAATGGAGTGGAGGAGAGAAAGCCGGAAAGCCTTGATCTTAAAACTTACACTCACTATTTTCTTCGAAAATATACGTGAATTTCCCAAAATTTTGACTCCTACTTTTCAAAATGAGTACTAATAGAAGCAGCATCTATGATTACGAGACACTTATTGTAAGTCTATCATTAGGATATTATTTCAGGTATTATCATATCGTATATAAAGATAGAGCTTTTTTTCTATAAGACTATATAGAAAGAAAGTTTCACTACGGTATACCTGATTTTAGCAAAGTTTTATGTACGAGCAACATAAGTGTAGAATTAATATCTGTTTACCAAGACTACATACGAAATAATTTTACCTGACACAAGATACCACATTTAACGTAGTTTTTAATGCTGATTTTAATTGTTGATCGTAAAATAAAAGAGCAAATAGTTGAATAATGTAAAATCTCTACTACTAAAAATATAGAGCAGCAACATTTTTTTGTTTTTCTTTATATTTTCATAGGAAATGACATATCCATAAAAGTTATTTATATGGGTCCATAGAGCAAGAGATCTTCTGCCAATCTGTATATCGAGCTTTCTGCATGAATTCCATTTTTGAATGAGAAGATAAGCAAACATTTTCGCATGTTTTAGTTATTGAGTGGAAAAGAATAGCTGATGAGATTCCAGTAAAAATAATTTAAATTTACCTTGAAAAGTGGATGACTTTGAAGATTTTCCAATGTTACACACGAATCTGGAGTTGACATTTTAATTAAAAAAATATTTAGATTCATATTCGCCAAAATAATGAAAATAATTACATTTGAAGTCGGAAAAAATAATCAAAAATGCATAGTTTCTTTTTTTGTGAATTTTTCTCTAATTGTACGATCAATGACAGACTTTTTGGTAATTGAAATGATCAGCGTAAAAATTTCTATCAAATGATGCCATTTGAAGACCAATCGGCGATCACACATGTAACGTCAGGAGGAACTCCATAGAATTACTCAAATATTTTATAGAATGTGAATCAATGAAAAATTTAGTTGGCAATATAGATCTCACTTGACTCGGCTGTTATTGTCAAGTCATGAGGAGTATCAAGTTAAAAATAAATTTACATCAAGACTAATTCATTTTTGATACGATTTATCCAACATTTGAGCTGAAAAATGCGACGCACTATATATAGCAGTTCTTTTTTATTTCCACTAGTTTTTAATCATACATTTTTAAGGGAAGCCAAAAAAGTATCGCTAAAATATAGCAGAAATATGAGAGTAAGAAAGTTTCTTATCAATCATGCTAGATGTTTTGCCTGTATGAACAATTAGTGACTGTCAATACTTTGTTAATGCTGGTTGAGAACAGCTTGCCGATTGATGTGTGAAAACTTGCTTTATGACTGATCTACAGTTCTTTGGTCGTTTTAGAAACTTTATCATATTCATATATATCCGTTGACTGTTCCTTTAATTTTTGTTCCTTTAACTATATGCAAGAGTAGTAGGTCCATAGCAGAGATTGGCGAGTCAACCAAAACTGCGACTCGTCACCGCCTCGCAATACTAACAAGTTATCCATTGCTGCCTCGCCTCATCTCGCCTACGGTCTATTATAAAAACGGTTTTTTTTAAGAAAGTTCTTCGACCAACCACAGTAATCACTATCTAGCTTATTTCTTTTGATCAAGTTAAGTACATTTCATACATATAGATAAGTGCAAAAAACAAAAATACAAAATGAGATACGAATAAATAATGCAGTGATAATGGTTCAATGCGTTTTTGTCAAAATTCAGATCTATGTTGATTAGCTAATATTTCGACGTGAGACGAAATAGTATTATCATCAAAAAATACGTTATCTACATGAATTTTCCATAGTTTGCCTCTATAGAGTAAAATAAGAGAATGGAAAAAGAATATTTAAGAATAGGTTATGCAATACCCAAAGAAATACATTGTTGAACAAAAAGTTGAAGTCTTTGATTATTAACCGTCGAGTATAGTCTGACATTTGTACAAAATCATTCTATAAGAAGGTTTTCTTTTTCTTTTCTTTTTTCTTCGCTTATTTTGAGCGATTCTCGGCGCTTACAGGTGAAAGAAAACATTTTTTGTTTTAAAAGTGATGAGGACGTTGTATCAGAGTGTTTTGAACATCTTATTGGTGAACATCCACAAATGTACTTGTTCATTTGCGAGGTGCTATTATTATTGTAAGAATATATGTTACATAGCGATGTTTACATGAGACAAGGTTGTTTAATTTTATCACCACAACACTTTAATTGTCACTAACAGCTGGAAAACCAAACCGAGACTAGCAACTTGTCGTATGTTTCTTCCTATTTTCGACTATTGTTAGATTTCCATCTTTACGCATGAATCAATTAAAAATCCTTCTACAGGACATTCGGGAAACATCTGATAATGTATGATCAGCATTGCAAGAATCTGAACAAGTTTCTTTTGTTATATCGACAATATGATTAGAAGAAGAACAATAGTTTGCCGAGCAATAATACATATCTAGATTAAAACTGTTATCGTAAAAACTTCTACTAGCTAACATAGCAAAGGTCACATTAGTTAAATTCACAATGGTATTTGTGTAAGGCTCCAAACAGACTGAATTAATTTAAAGTCAATTAACCAATGTTATTGACGTCGTTACATGGTAACACCAATCATGTTTCTTAATTCATTTTGAATTGAGTCAGTCTGTTTGGGTTCTAAATCAAATTATTCGACAGGCCAAATAGATAACTATGTTTACGTAGATATTCATATTCATTTATTGTTGTGATTAGTTTAACTTCATCACCAATAGAAATTCTTTCGGAAGTGAACAATAAAATCGAGAGATAACATTAATGATTTACTATTTAATCACTAACAATTACATTTTAAGTAGCCGAGTTCACTCGGCGAGTCTTGAAATCAACTCACATTTGTCGTGGTGCGGAAAATCTTGCCTCATCTTGCTTTGTGGCGAGGCGAAGAAACTCGGCGAGCCTGAGATCTCTGGCCGATAGCTCTTTATTCACGCATGGTATGCATGTTGGTATAGTTCCTTTCAGTAGAGGGTTAGCGACGTTTGCATCGCGTTACTTGTTAATTCTAATGCCAATAATGCTCAAGCATTAGGGTTAATTGTAATTCTAATACTTAAAGCATTGGCACCAGTATTAATAAATGCTCATGTTAATTCTAATGCCAATAATGCTCAAGCATTAGGGTTAATTGTAATTCTAATACTTAAAGCATTGGCACCAGTATTAATAAATGCTCATGTTAATTCTAATGCACCACCCCTACGACACCATCTAAAACTTCGATCCAGCGGTTTCATAGTTAATAATCTGTGTATTATATTTACTACACACAGTTAAAAGTCAGCAAATATATAAGAACTCTATTTTGATAGGTTTCTTCAGTACCACCGAAAGATATTCTCAATAAGAAAATAAAGCACTTATATAAAGGGTGGGTGTGAATCTTTTCTTCATTAAACCCACACCACACCCACACCCTTATGTTACAACCATTCTGATCTAACCAATCTTTTAGTTGATTGTCACTGGTATTATTTTTTGTACAATTCCACTGAGAGTGTTTTGCGTTGAAATCACCGAAAATTATGAAGTTTTTATCCAAATATTTTTCAAATAGATGAAAAGGTGGTCTTTTCCTAGGAGGAACGTCTGCTCCTCCTACCATAGCTGTATCATTTGTGGTTTGAATTTCTAACATTAAAAAATTTTCAGCTTTTTCAATTACTTTACTTTTTATTGAATGGTGAATTAAAATAGCCACTCCTCCGAAACTATTATCTCCAAACGAAAATTCCCAATAATATCCTGGAATAGAGCGCAAACTACGAATTTGACTACCTACATCTGTTAGAATGATAATTTTAGGAGTATGTGAAGAAATAAGAATATCGAGATCGGCACTATGGGTTCTTAGACCTTCGCAATTAAACAGAAGAAAAAAATTGTCATCTTCTATATTAATAGGTCGTTCTTTTTTCCATTTTTTACATAGCTGTGATATACATAAGCGTGAGTTCCACTTAGAAAGGATAGAAAAAAGAAGAGCTTGTTCATTTAAAGTTCCATCAAATTGTTCTATTACATTCATATTTACAGTTGGTGTTGCATATGTAAATTCTTCACAATTCATTTGGTTGTTTTATGATGGAATTCAATGCTAGATCAAGTATTTCACGTTGTTTTTCGATTAATTGATTTAATTTAATTTGATGTGAAATATAAGTGGATTTTTTATCATTAATAAAAAGAAGTTGTTGTTGTAGTATGAGAAGTATTGGTTCAAATTCATTTTGATTATTATCATTTTTTAATTTGTTTGCAATTTGTGTTAAACTTTCTATTAAACTTGTACATGTAGAAAATACTATAGAATTAATAATATTATCCATTGAGGTAAACATTTCAGTTTGTGTTTGAATTTGTTGTTGAATAATTAACCAGCATTGATTCATTGATTTTAAATGGTTTTTATATTTTTCTTCTATTTTCTTTTGTTCATTAGCATAGGTTTTTTTTAATACTTTTAGTTCATCATTGAGCGACTTAACAATTTCATTCAAATTGGAATTTAAAGATGATGTTGTTAATGAATAAGATGATTGAGATGATAATAAAGGCCATTGATTTTGATCTTGAAAATTGCGGTGATTCAATGTGTGATGATGTTGATTTTTATTTAATTGTTGATATTGTACTGATTTGTTTTCTAATATTTTTGTTCTTTTCCATTTTCACGACATTCTGTTGGTAAAAACAATTGAGCTTCAGCAGGAAGTAAATCAGGACGATTTCTTAATTCAAGTACAAGTTCACGACGATATTTTTGAATAAATGGACATGAATAATCAGTTGAGGTGTGTGCTCCACCACAGTGGTGACATTTTATTTCACATGAACTATGATTTTCTTTATCATTACGATCTTTACCACATCTTCTGCATAAATCGATTTGTGAAATTTGACATGCTTTCTTAGCATGTCCAGGTGTGTTGCATTTTGAACATATTAATAATTTTGGAGCAGGAAGGAACTCGTCGCATTCAATTAACTGACCATAAATTGGTACATATCCACTATTCAAAATTGTGTTATATTCCGTTTCATCTTGAAAATCAATTCGTACGTGTCTATTTCTTGTATTTATAGTTCCAATAATATCTCTGATTGAATAAATTGATTTAAATTTTATTTCTAATTCTTCTTTAAGTTCATTACATGAAATTGAGTTCTTGATCCATTTTAAAATGACAGATCTTTGAGGAGGTAAATGTTTAGGAGGATGAGGTGTAATTTTAAAATTGTTAATTTCTTTTGGATATCGTTGTGGATTACATAAAAATACATATAAATCTATTACTTTCGTTATACCTTGAATATTACCTTCTTTGTCAATCCACCATTGTTCAAAACCAATCGGTTTTTGTTGAGTAATATTCTGTTGATAGAAATCTTTTTCAATATATTTGAAGAATTGTTGAATGAGTTTGGCTGCTGTTCTTTGATCTTTCATTGTGGGTTCACATTCTAATTTAATCGGATGGAGATGAGTTGATGCTGCATAGTTCAGTGCTTGGTTTGAAATTTGAAATGGATTTTTGTGATTTACATGTTGTTTATTATTTAAATCGTTGATATTACTTGTTGTATTGCCTTGTTGTTGAGCAAATCTTTTTTTGGTCATATTCGAATTTGAGTTTGTATATGTTCTGCTATTGGTTGTTAATGATTGATCGGTTCTCGAGTAATTATTTCCTCTTTTGTATTTTGAGTTTTTTTGTTGTTGATAATTACTTTCATTATCGTTATTTACATGGTCGCGATCATCATCATATTGATATTCACTTCCATTGGTTCGGTGTCGTTTTAATGATGGAGACTGATTACGTTGATCCAAAATTTGTAATTGTTCTAATGTATTTTGAAAATTTATACCATCACATAAATCGTCTTTTTCTTTTTGTGTCACATTGATATATCTATTGTCACTCATGTTCAACTTTTCATTAATTTTAGTATAAGTATTAGTAATTAAATTAATCAATAAAACGATAGACCAATCAATAATTCGATAAATAGATCAATAAGTAAATAAAGGTTATTGAGTTCACTTTAGTAGATAATAGGATGAAACGTGCACGTATACGGTCGATATACATGAAGGCGAATGATCATTTTTAACTCTATGACCATTTTCCTGCTTGCAAGGATCATTTATATCACCAATCGAAAAAGTTGTTTAATCCTCAACATCGTTTTCTCACCCAAATTCCTAAAGAATTTCGTCGGTCGTGTAGAAATTCCCATAGCATTCGATCAAATTCGATTATTGAAATGATTCTTTTAAGTTTCGACATTGAATCATGGACTTAAAAATATAGACCTAAAATGTCTTCAACAGAATAAATAATCATGCACAGGCGCGCAGCATTTTGTACAGAATTAAATTATTTACCAGCCTATTTCTTTGAAAAACGTTTTCAGCGTAATATTCCCCATGAAAAGTCGAAATTAATGAAAGATCTATTCAAAATCCAAATTATAATTAGCAGTTAATACCTATTTTCCTTAATTATTTTTGAAAATGTATGACATGAATTGGTTCAGTTTGTTTTTCTCTATCGAATGATATATTTTGAGTTAAGATTTCATTTTTTTTAGACTGGAAAACTCAGATTTTCTGTAAAACCTATGGAGCTTCAGGTATTTCGAGCTTTTCGAATATCTATCAATAGTTTTCTCATTTTGAAAGGATACTATACTGTAGAGAAACGTTTGTTCTATTGAATGAAGTATAACTCAAAATATTTCGATGTAGAACAAAGGTAGTATAAAAGGAAAAGTATAGGCTTATTCCATGGAGTTTCTCCCACGAAAACACATGAGTCCTTTAAATTGACTGAAAAT